GTAGGCCGTAGAACATGGGCGGAATCGCCATTACGTTCGAATTAGTTAAATCAAGCCCATTCCTTAGTGAGTCACACTACGCAGCCTATGCGAAACCCTATTTATGAATAAAAAAGAAAAGACTAGCATAATTTACCAAATAGTTAAGTAGCAGCAGTAAAGTTTTGTCTCAGCTACAGTGAGAAAAATTCTTAATTTCAGCTGAAAGCCAGCTTCGGTACAGATTAGGGTTAATTTTGTCTCAGTTCAAGGTCGGATGAGAACAATAGAGAATACAACCAATTCACTTACATACATGCTGACTTGTATTTAGGTATAATAACGACAGAGTAACGTTGGCAACAGGGCAAATCGGAATTTCCGCATAGAAGATTGGCATTCGAGCGAGAATCTAGAAACAATATATATTACAAGTATGAAGACTAGGATGGTGTGGCCTTTTGTATGGTCGTGGTCTCCTTTCGTTATATCGAAGTTGTTTGACTTTGGTTTCGCAACTCTGTCATATTATTCATATATAAGTAGAGGTTCGAGACTACCAGTAAAGCAGTTATATGAGATGTATTCAGCTTATTTCGTTTAATGTGATGAAGGACTGGTAGTAGAAGTTTCCCACAATGATATGGGTGAGGCTGACGGTTATGCTATCCCTCCTCGTTTTGTCCTGAACCCTCTATCCATTTCCTACCCTCTAATCTCACACTTGTCCTATCACAACTTTTGACATGTTTATATTCCACAAGAGATGCTCCCTTTTGGCGAATTCACCGTGGCGCCATTACACTTGCTGTTTGTCTTGCTCCCCTCCCTCTCCAGTGGCTGATCCTGCTCTAGTCTCCTGTCCGGATCTGCCACGTGGGCTCGTAGGTCCGTTGCTTACCTTTCTGGCTGACCAATTTCACTCGGTTCCAGCCCAGCGTACTTTTACTCCAAGTGCGATTTCTCAAGCCGTCAGTAGCACGTACAAAGTCGCCTTATCGTCATAGTGACTAGGCTCTAATTCCCATGACTGCGTATATTTGGCATTGCCGGGATTAAGCCCGTGTATCCTGAGCAAACTGTGGACATCTATCTTTGGTCGCCTGCTGCATCTCAAGTGGATTATTAGTCATCATGGTCATAATTCCCGATTTGTTGGACCCAATAGCTCTCCCTAGTCACGTAAAACGTCGCCCCCCAAATTGTAGTTGTCTATTAAAGCTGACTAATCTCACAGAAAACGTCTTCGCTTCATTTCCGAAGCCTTCTCACCCTCCTTTTCCTTGCGATCCCTTTTCCTCTGGTTTACGTTATATCCTTGATCCAGGCGTCTCCTTTTTGCTTGTCTTTTTGTATCCCTGTTTTCATAGAGTTTGATTAGGCAATAGGCAAAGTTATCACTGACTCTGCCTTCTTCCAATCTTCTGTTCATTTAATTCCCCCCCCCGCCCCTCCAAGGATGTAAATGTCCTACCGCTTCTGTGTGCTTTCACTATAAGAAGCCCTTCTTCCTATTGCCTTACAATTGATCTCGTGTCCAGCCTCTGCGATGTGTTTCGTTCGTTATATCTGATCTTTCAGTATCCATTTTCCTGTAGAGCCTTTGATGATCCTTACTTTGTAAGCCGATTGTTTTTTCTACCAGTTTCGCCAATGTATTTCTGTTTGCAGGCGCCGCATGCTATGCAGTACACTCCTGAGCAATCCAATTTATCTACCTCTCATGCTGCGTGGGTAGACTTGTGAAGTGTTGTTTTTTCTTTCTTGGTCACCTGAATATTCCATTTTCTTAATATTGCCCGTCGTTTTTGTGAGTCTTTTTCCATCATTATCTTACTTTCATAATCTCCGTCCTGCCATCGACTATTCACAGCCAATGTAGTTCATTGAATTGAATTGAGTATTATTCCGGCATATGACTTCTTTCGTAACAATTTCCTCCTGAGTGTCCCTTTAGAGCGAATAACCTCCACATCTAGGAAGACCATATACCCCTCTTCCTCTACATCCATTGTGAATTTGATTTTTTTATCAACCCCGATCATAATCTTCAGGAAATTCTCAGACCTTTCTCTTCTATGCGACCATATTGCAAAGTAATCATCCAGATACCGCATAAGAACTCTTGGTTGCAGTGGTGACACTAAAATTTTATTATAATTTGTCCATATATACATTTCCTAATAAAGCTAAGAGAGATGATCCTATAGGAAATTCAAATTTCTGTTCATAGATTTTACCATTAAATGTGGACTAGGTAGTACTTATTGTTAAGTTGATTAATCGTGGTAACGACTCCCTTCTGATACTCTCTGTTTCTAGGATATCCTCTTCTCGATCCAAGCTTTTTTACATGGCCAACAGCGCCTTTTCCATAAAAATGTTTGTGTTCATAGATTGTCCATCAAAACTTACCAGTAATTCTGTTTCTTCCAGTGTTATGTTTTTGATCCTCTAAGAAAATTCATGTGAGTGGCTGACTGTGATTGACAATCTGTAGTTTACCTTCCTAAGTTTCAGATATATGAACTTGGCTTATTTGTGTTGCTCCAAACTTTTTGCTAACTATCAGCCTTAATGGTTCTCGTTCTTTTTGTAACTTCGGTAACCCGTAGGCTGTTGGTGGTCGTAAATCCTTTTCTATTAGTGAATTTATTGTCCATCCATTGATTTCCTCGTTCATGTGCCTATCTTTAAACATTTTCCGTAGAGTTCCATTGATCTTAATGGTTAGGTCCTTATTTAGCAGACGATAGGTAGTCCTGTCTTACAGTATACAATAAATTTTCTCTAGATATTGTTTTCTGTCCATTACAACTGTCGCTCCTCCTTTGTCTATCTGAAAGACCAATTATTCATCCCTTTTTAGTCTTCTTCGTATCCTCACAAATCTATTATTTTGCGTTGGTTTATAATGTGTCAAGCTTATAGGAATTATTTTCATCTCCATTTCTCCTTTTGTCTTAGGAGGAAACTTGTCGAAGATATTTCTGCCATTTTGAAGAGAAAAGTCTAGTCCTTTCTTTAGGATCGAAGTGGTTTCAGAATCAAGGGGAAGCGAGGATAAATTCACCAGCTTGTTCCCTAAGTCGTACTGTTCTATAGGAGTCGTCGCCTTGGAAGCCCCTTCAACTGGGCGCACTGGTTTTACTCTACGTTGTCTTATCATTCCATACCTAAGCAATTTATTTTCGTGTTTTTTGTCAGAGATCCTACGTGATTTCTTGACGGCCATGCTCTGGAGTTTGTGAATATCCTCCGGAGTCAGAATCCTAGCCAGATCACGCCAGAGCTTTAATTTACTATCTATAAACTTAAATAGCTTATTCGTTTTCATATCATAGGTTTCATTCAATATATGCAAGGAAGCCTAGTAAAGAATTTCATGAACACTATCTTAATGGAAGTGTCTCTTAAAGTCAAAACGTCTGGGAATGTACCAAGTCCACCTTCAGGCTATCATGCATACTATGGACTCCGGACAAGGTGAGCTCCTCTAGGTCTTCCTGTTAATACGACCAAGTTGCGAAACCAAGGTCAAACAACTTCAATATAATATGAGATGTATTCAACCAATTTCGTTAAGGTGATGAAGAACCGGAAGAAAAAGTATTTTCCCACAATAATATAAGTTGAGCTGACGTTTCCATTGGATTTCACATAGCTTTGCTTTCCCAAAAGTTGTTCTCATCCAGGGTGGACTGCAGTTTCGACCTCGCATCAGTCTTATCAACACCCTCAGCGGGAATCTAACAGCGACAGTGCAGGATGGGAGCTTGACACGCTAACCACTCGGCTACACTGCCACGAGCACATTTTGGGTCACAGGGCAAATGTGAATTTTAAAGAAATGCCAGGCATTTTTGTCATATCATATTCTTTTGGTGGAATTGTCGAGGAAGCAAACCTATATCTGCTATAACAATCGACTACTATACATTATTTTTCGAATTAAGTATTGTTTTAGTGTCTACTAGTAAATCAGTAATATGAGATGTATTGTGGGAAAATTCTTCTTCTAACAGTCCTTCATCACCTTAAACGAAATTGGGTGAATACATCTCATATTACAAAATTACTGGTAGTCACGAAAACAATACTTAATTCGAAAAATTTCAATATATATTACATTTGTAACTATGGGAGCTACAGTCCGCTTTGGACGCAAAACTCTTTAGGGAGGTAAGGCTAAATTAAATTAAATGGCATTATGAGGCTTATTTACATAATAGTGGGATAAACTAACAATTTATTTATGCGATCTACGGTGAATACACGCTTAATCTATGCAAAGATATAGCCCGTCTCATGACACTCATCTTGTGAACCGTTTTTTTACCTAGAAGCATGGACCAGAAGGCTACGGTGGCTATTTAGACGTCAGAAACAACACCCAAACACCACCATTTCGAAAAGGCTTGACTGGGCCCTGGCTATTCTTAATGACTTTTAGGTAGAGAGAAGAAATAGAGAAAATTGAAGTTAAATCTAATTCTTCAGGGAATATTTACAAATGCGGGATTGGCGAACTGCGACTGGCAAATGTACAATACTCACTTATAAAAGATTAAGAAGCACTAAACAAGGACAGAAAACTGTCAATTCACCTCCCAAACGCTGCAAAAGCAGCGAATCTACAAGGAATGTGCAAGAAAACTCGCGCAGACAGACGCACTGTCTGAAGGAGGGTTGATCAACTGCAGCAATAAATTGAGAATTAGACAGATGTAACAATCACGAAGAAAATAAATTATCGAAAGTGCCAGTCAGATGATGTCCAATCTATTGACATCCGAGAAAATGGGAGGAGTAGAGAATGCCTAAAATTTTTGAAAGCATTAAAAAAAGAGGATTCTTTCATTAAGCATTATGCTGATTGGAAATGATGAAGATCATATTAGTATTGACATACCTCTGAGATATGGATTCTGCCAACAAAGTATAATCGGAGAGCAAAAATTGAAATACCCGAGGATTGTGGATATGATACTGGCAACTACTTTTGTGGAATAGCGGGTAAATCATTCAAATCTAACGAAGCAATGCAAAACAACAAATCGCTATAGTATCACTTAATGCTCCCAAATGGCCCTCAAGACTCACTAACTTCGTCGCTTTACACATTAATGTTCGCCTGCATCTACTTCTGGCATTAAATGTCCCCAATAGAAAGTTTCGCTACCTTCAAAGGGAATTCTAGACTTTAGGTCTTTGTCTTATAATTGTTTGGCATAAAGCAGTAACCGGGATTTGAAACCAAGTGATAACCTGAGTAATTCTTTAAAAATGGAATGATACAAATACGTTTGAAAAAAGAGAATATTTCAAGGAATTAAATGGAATTGTGAGGAAATATATAAACCCCCTAAAGGTAAAATATATTTTTACATATATTCCAAAAATTAGAAGTGTTTTCCAGGGGACTTTTAAGAGCCTAGCTGCTCTGCATTTTCTGTTGTTATTGTTATGTATTATTTCATAATCGGAGCATTAGTTACTGAAAAAACACAGTGCCCTGAAGCAATCTTATTCTTTGAGGCCGCCCCAGGAGATAGATTTCATACATCATTCAATATTGTTTACTTTACAAGTAAAATGCTATAAAGGACATTATTATAGTGCATCCATTTTACTTTCTACTTAATAGCGGTATGAGTTTAGAAAAAGCTTTTATTTTGAGTATAGAAGTGCGAAGCGTATCCTAGCATTCCAAAAACCTCTGAGAAATTTTCCATATACATCTGCTGAAATATGGATAATAACATTCATTTCTCGATAGTGCTAATAGCGCATATTCTGAAACGGGCGCATTTTCCTTGGAATATTTGGACAATGTGACAGCAAAGCCAAAAAACATGGAACAAAATAGGTACTTTTCATTCAACCCTGCTTAATTTATCTCGGCGTTCTGACATTTAAATGCCCTCATCTCTCAATCTCTTGATTTCGATAAATTTTGTTTGTTTCTCCAACCTTCGGTTAAGGCTGTACGATATGGTGTTATGGTCTGGCAAGAACGCGTTGGCGAGCAGATGCTACTGCCCAATCTCACAGTCTAGCCGCCGGCTCCCTGGCTGCAGGTCTGAATACAATAAAACCACCCGCCAGTAGCAGAAGATGGCTCAGAGGGGAAGGGAAAACACAGTCGTTGCTCACTCAGATGAGCACCAGCATGCTCAATGCTTTCTCATCAGCTACTGGAATGCTGAAAGCCAATAACCGAGATGAAAGTGGCGTTCTTGAGGAACGAGATTGTGAGCGCGCAAGCAAAAAGAGCATTTCAGCGTTGAGCGTTCTGGGGCCTGGGTCGGACCTGGCAGCCAGGGATGGCGGAAGAGACAATCTTCGGTAAGCATGATAGTAATAATAAATATGCTCTGCACCAGCAACACAGTTGAATTATTCCATTAGGGCGACTAAGCTTCTGTATCCAATTCGCCGAAGGAACCTATCCTAACAAGGCACACTAACAAAAATGTATTTGGTTCCTTTCATATGCAATTATCATGTCCAAAATAATAGTAATAATACTTACTAATAACTAATAATATATAATATTTACTTTTTGATAATTATTATCAAATTATAACTAATAGTTATATTTAAAATACCGCAAGAGATGATCG